TTCATCTTGCACGTGGGTCATAACTCCTCCCTAGTCCCCGTAAGTATAACGACCTCTGGCGGTCAGATCCCCTTAATCTCCCGTCAATCATCTCATCTCCGGTTGCCTTACCCAGTACGGTGCCGATGTTGGAGGAGTCGATTCCCAGTGTGAAGCAGCGGTGTCCCTCATCGTCCCCGCTGGCGTCGTCAAACACCTGCCGTAGATAGCTCTGCGGCACAAAGTTATGATCGGTGAGACGATTCAAGCAAGAGTTAATATCCCCGCACCACACCTATGGCATGAAAAGGGACAACCATCAATATCTTGAATGCAAAAAGAGGCTCACTCACCCGTGCGGTGATGGTGACGTCGAACGCCGACGTGGGGTCCGTCTGCAGGGACAGGGTGATGTTCGGCAGCCGGTCCCAGAGGGCGCTGTCGTTGAACGCCGGCGCACACAGCCGACCCTTCCCCGTCCAGAACGGGTGGGCCGGCTCGGCGAGCGGCGCTGCCTGCTGCAGACGCGATACCACCTCCCGGAACACCTGCTCGGGCGGTAGGGCAGCATAGGGTCAGACTTTTACACAGGTGATCATCTGTAAAGCATACTTATTACTTATCGCACACATGCGGCGAAAGGCAGTAAGAATAGTTGGAATTGCGACCAAAAGCTGAGGTCTTACATCTTGTCCACAAATTAGAGCGATATTAGGGCGCACCGTGTGATCGAGCACAAACACATGTAACAGTAGCTTCAACATCATCAGCGAATGGTTCGTTCTCCCACCTCATCCGGCAGCCGCAGATTGGTGGTGCCGGTATCTACGATCGTCTTTGGTTTGTTGAAGCGATCACAGTGCAGCGGCAGCGGCTGACCGCCCACAGTCAAGTTTGTGACGATTGTCTCAAAGAACCACGGCCGAAAGATGGCGGCCGACCGGAACTGGCCGGCCAGCAGCTCGGCACGCGTTTCACCTGTTGATGGGGTGTTCAGTCACGTCGAACTACAGAGATCCGTCGCATAATGGAAATTCACGCAGAAACTGGCTCGACTAACTATCCATTCAATGATGATGTAATTAGATAATATCGCGTTAAGGCACATACCTAGCCAATCAGCCTCCGCATCACCCCAGAGTACTAGCTCCAACACAGGAACAAACAGCGGCACCCACCGAACTCTATATAGCCGTGGTGTCGTCCAGTGCGCGGCTGAGGGCCGCACAGCACCACAGAGATGGTGTTGAGCCGACCCAGCAGGGCCTGTTGGGCCGCCTCCGGCCACGTGGTCACTGACGAATTGGGCAGCGCCAGCTGACGGTACGCCAGGCCCACGATACCCTGCAGGTCACGAAACAACGCAACAGTTGTTAGGAGGGAGACCACGGCACATGGCTATTCCGGTTCGGCGCGGCTTACTTTCTATGCGCCCGACACCGGGAACGGAAAACGTCGAAGCGTAGCATGGAGGCAAAACTTGATGCGTGCTTTTAAACAACACACCAACCTGTAATGATATGCAATCTATAGGGGAATTACGGCAGAGCTTTGCCGAACATTTACCGTAACACTTACACGAAAATTCTATGAATTTCCTCCAAACTGAAAGATTTTGATAGCACGGCTGGCGAACAGCAGTGATCGAGCTTCGTACAGCTGTAGGCGGCGGGCATCACTTCCTACCTGCCACTCGGAGCCATTGATGTAGAAATTTGTGGAGCGCTGGATGAGAGCCACGTCACAGCGGACGGTGGGCGCGTTCGTCTCTGGCAGCCGCACCACGTCGCTGACCAGCTCACCGCGCCAGGAGCCCTGTGAGTAGGGCACGTCCACGGACACGTGCAGTGGTCGCAGCGTGGTCGACCTGTCACAGGACGGTCACAGTCTGCTGTCATGACTCAGCAGTGCTTCACAGATAGTGGATGAGTCATTACAAAATTGAAAACAAACACTTTGTTGGAAATCATCCAAAATGATAGCCGTGGTGTCATTTATCAATGGATCAATGGATTACATACTTACACAGATTTATTGTAGAACATGGAAATCTGTGGGCTGGGTGCAGCTGCAATGGCAACATTACTGCTGCCTGTGTCAATCAGAACCTTCAGCTGGAATATAAAGACAATGAAATGTTTCAGTCACCCTATCCTCAAACATGTCCTCGATGACATTAAAAAAGGCTATCTTGAACATTATCTTAACTGGAAGAACACCTGTTCGGATTATGAAGCATACATACAGCTGAATCAGTCTGTGAGAACCTGACAAATAACTCATAAGATGTAAGAAAAAGAGCCTGAATAATCATTATATGAGTTCCATTTAAAACCATAGCTGAAAAGTGAATGCAAAACAAGTGATCACTGGTCAGTGGTTGCCATGTTTACCTTCTGAGGAGGTGTTCCAATAACAATCTCCGTGTAATACCCATCTCCAGATTTGCCATGCAAATTAACAATACAGCTGTCTGCCAGCTTCAAGGGGCATTCATCTTCAAGACCGAGTGCTTCAGTCAGACACAACAAAAATAAATATAACAAAAATATTGAGTTGGGGATGATCCAGATTGAGATGGCCATGCTTCTGACATCTCTTCTTTGCTGAAATAAGGACTCGGTATGACATTTTCATTTAACCATATCTTAACGATTTTCTTTATTATCCAGCAGCTTAACATGTTTTCAATGCTCATCATTATAAGAAATAAATTACTGAAATAACAACCATCCTCCCCAAGCATAAGCACCCTCACTAATTACAATTGATTGTATTAGCAGAAGTGAAAATCACCGTAATGTATTGCATAGCTAAGAACCTCTGAAAAGTAAAACCAACCATTTTCTTTAATTATCCTGGTTGTGAACAACTGAAAATGCATAAAAATTGATAAAACCAAACGCCCAACCTCTCTCACAATACATACACAGCTGGTGATGTTTTGAAACTACCACACCACAAATGTATCGAAACAACAAATATCAAGGATGCTGAAAATAGAAACACTATTCCACTGTCGATTTTGCAGCCTCACGGTAACTCAGCAGCCGACCAGCGCGGTCCTAAACTGAAAGGCGCCATTCGCATCTCTAAATGCAGCTTACCATTTACTTTGAATATGTTGACCTCAAAAGATATTGGTGAATTTGAGAGGTCAACGTTTCCGCCAATCGCAGGTACCCTGTCAATCAGCAACTACCGGACCGATACAGACGAGAGCGCGAACACTAAAATTTTAAATTACAATACGCGATGTCACCAGCCATTTCAAATATGTTGACCTCAAGTGACCTCAGTGATCCTGAGATGTCAGGTCAACGTCTTCGCCCATTGCACTCATCCTATGCCTACCTAACCCATCAACTATCGGGCCAATCTAGACGGCCATTCGCTTCGCCGTATGTCTTTCTACCCTCTTATTTCGAATAAGATGACCTCAGATGACCTCCGTGAACTTGTGAGGCTATTAATGTTTCATTGTCCATTGCAGCTATCCCATAGCTCACCACTGACAGCAACTACCAGGCCGATCGGAAAACGCCACCAGTAAGATAGCAGTACCTACCTATTCGATTTCATCCGTTCACCGTTGCATCGAAGATGATAACCACAAGTGAGCTCGGTGACCTCAGAGGTCACTTAACCCGGCAGTTGCTGGGGTATTTCGCCACCCACCGTTTGCTGGGGGGGGGGGGGCGTTAAACGCCCCCAGCCGATAACTCGAGAACCAATAGGCGCAGCGAAACGCACGAGGCGGCAAACGAAAGAGCGCGACGAGACGCTTCAGATGAGTACTTTAAAAGTGAATTTTGAGGTCACAGGTCGGGTCAAGGTCAGGTCAAACACCTGAAATCGGGCTTTCAGTAGCATGGACTTCAGGACTTCACAATGGGCGCCTCTCGCCATAAACTCTGTCAAAACGGTGCACAATCCATCTTATAAGGCCTACAAGAGTGTCAGCTCCATATAGGGGTCAGTCAAGCATAGGTCAGGGTCAAGGTCAGACCGTCAGGTCAACCGGGTAGGCACATATGCCCGAAAATCAAAACTGATATTCGCAGCCTGTGACACATGTTTTATAGGTAATTTGGGGCGTAGAACACGATGGTGACATTCATTTTATCATATGTGTAGGTGTTTGACTCAAAAAGTTCAATTTAAGAAATTCATGTATCATGGTCGTGAAGTAGTCACGAAAAATTGCCAAGATTCAGTTCAAGATTTTGGAAAATGCGGAACGATAATCAATAATCGAAGATAGCCATTTGATTGATCATGGTATTGGCAGTCTAATGGCGTTTACGGCATGTCTGTATGTCTATTCTGTGATTTTATATGATTTTTTGAACATATGCCGTTTTTGGTCGAAAACTCAGAAACCATGACGTCACTAAAACCTCGATATCTCAAAAGTTTTCCGACCGATTTTTTTTGAAACTTTGTCACAATATACTTCAATCAATTTCCTACAGGTACCTAAAATTTGGCGCGCCTGCGGCGCGCCGTTTTTATGCTATGGCCCGGCGAAAAAAGTGGGGGCGTTTAACGCCCCCCCCCCCAGCAACTCGCGGGTTAAGAGGTCACTTATGCTCACATATATTTTGGGGAGCCATGTCATGACCCCGTGATGCGCAGACCCGTCTATGGGTGCGTTCACGCTCGCATCCGGGATGCGCGGGCGGGATTGGTGTCACTAAATTGCTGACTCTGGGTTACAGGGAGGGCGAGCCGAGCCGTTTGTTTATATCACACATGACTCCTCAGACACAACCTTCCAGGAAGTAACAGCCTAGTAACAGTGACAAACGGCGGGGGTCGCGGAGTAGGGGTCAGACCACTCCGTGCCAGCGTGATCACGTCACACCACTCGGGGACAAACTGGCTGGCTCAGCGACACTGGACCTCGGCACTACACGCCCCCTTTTCAAGCCGGACGTTAAGTTGGAATTTTCATTTCTGCCATTGATTCGTCGTTCAAAAGTTAGGAATCTGTATCGGCCATAGTGCGTTATGCGAGTCGACCCCTTTGCACGCACCACGTTTATTTCAAGCGTAATACGAGCGCCTTGAGATACTGCAACGTTCCTTTGATAGCATCCGGCGGCCTCCCGCGGCCCATACTCACACCTGTCTCTCCGGCAGGTGCAGCGAAGCCCCAGGATGTTTACGCCGCATCTGACCGGCCTCCGGGTGGGACGAGTTTTTGTCTCTGGCGCCACGTGACTGGCCGGTCCGGCCCGGTCAGCACCGCTCCGTCGTCCAACCAGACGGGAGGGGATGGGAGCGGCTCGACCGACGCCAGTCAACGCTCTGACTTGGACGACGACGGCAGACGTCAAACGCCCAGCGGGGCACCGTGCCAGGTAGGCGACTCATCCTCCATAGATACTCGTCCGATATATTTAACTTGTTGCTAAGCGCAGACTAGGCTAGGTCTTTTTCGCTTTTACAGTTTTTCTCGCTATTATTATGCCTTCCGGTGCTCTATTGTATTCACATTTTAGTAACCGCAAGTACCGGCTATACGACAATTGTTTATATCTAGTGGAATACAAAAGGTAAAAATTGCTTTTTAGGACGATATAGTGGGTATAATTTTGTCGTTGTTTCCGCATGAATGCATCTCAAACACATGCCCACACAAATATCTCGACCATCGTGATCATGTGAACTCGTATAAGGACACGGACATAAACTGAAATATTATTTTACTAATACGGCTATGTGCGACGGCAGTTTATAAACTGCCGAACAAATTTGACGTTGCTAATTGAAATCTGGTCATTCAACCCTGAGCGAATGATTCAACAAAGATAGAGGATAAGCAGCTTGATATGAATGAGACGACGAATACGCCATCGTTTAGAATTATAATTGACAATAAAAAAGCTTATAAAGCAAAGCGAGAGTTTCGCTGATGATACTTCACTCGACGCTGATGAACTCCTTAACCCGCGCGGGGCTGGGGTCTCCAGCCGAACGCGCGGGGCTGGGGGGGGGGGGGGGTAAATTTTACCCCCCCCCCCCTGTTATCTCCCGAACTAATGGTCCGATTTGGAAAATTCAAACGCCAATCGAAAGATCTCATTACGAACAACTAAAAACATGTACTTAATTTAAAGGAAAAGGGCCACCTTTAACATGGGGATTGAAACTGAGTTAGCCATCTTGTAGCCCGTGTCCGAAAACCTATCTGTCTACCTCCTTACGGCCGATTTCGGCCTCCATTCGTAGTTATCGGCAATTTTAAAAGAAAATACGCCAGGAATGCGTCCTTATCCAAGGAATGCGTTCTTATCCGACAATACAGCCACCCGCGGCGAGGCTTTGGTTTTTTACCAATCAGCTCCAACCAGCTCAGCTTTAACCAATCAGCTTATCTGACACAATCCGACGAGTCTGTCATCTGAACGCTGATTGGCTTGAGTGTGACGTCATCGCTATGCCATCATACAGTAGGTGCCGTAGAGAGTATCAACATAGTACCAATATGTTAAATAGTTTTAAATACTTTTTCGCGAATTGTGCACTTCTGGCACCATTTTTAAAAAGAAAATGAAAAATAATAATGTCAAAATGAAAAACAACGATATCTTCATATTTCACGAAGGTGGCCCTTTTCCTTTAAAGTTTGAGGTCAAGGTCAAGGTCAGGTCAAGGGTACAAATTGCAAGTGTCTACAGTATCGGCCTTGCACCGTAGTTGCCGAAGAATGGAGTCATGGACTGAGACTGATTGCCCAAAACGTGTTCTTTGGCTACCAAGACAATATTCGTTGCATACAATATCATTCAGAGGTCAAGGTCAAGGTCAGGTCAGGTCAGATCAGGTCACCAAAAACAAAATATAGAAAAGGGCATGTGCGACACATGTTTTATGGGTCATTTTACTCATAGAATTTAATAGACACACTCAATATGTGATATGGACCACCTCTGAATGAATTTCAGGTCGAGGTCAGGTCAAGGTCAGGTCAAGTGAGATCAAATTTTGAAGTTGGTTGTTAAGGCCTAAAAAGGTGTCTATCTAATGCAGTTTTTTCACGGCGAATCGAATGGTGCTATTTTTGTTTCCGTACGAGGTCTAGAACTTCCAAAAAATCATTTTTCCAAATTTTTGTGTGTCGTGACGTCATAAAATTTTGAATAACTCCCACATTTTTGAACCGATTCTTCTAAAAATTGGTATGTAGGTGCACATAGACCACTTCTCTGACATATATTCCGTTTTTTTTCGATACAAGCAAAATTTTGGATTTTATAATCATTTTCCCAAAAAAAGGCCGTTTTTTGAAAACATTTAGGCCAAAATCCAGAATTTTCAAAAAACCGAGATAGCCATTTGATAGACAAAGTATAATTACGTATAACCTTTTTTGTTACGTCTTGATTCCTTTAAAAATGAAGATGTTAGCGGCGTTTGAAATTTTGCCGTTTTTGAGGCGAAAATGGCGAAAATGGCGAAAATGGCGAAAATGGCGAGCATGACGTCACTAAAACGTCAATTTCTCAAAAAATTCCGACGGATTTCGCTCAAATTTTCAGGGAACGTGTCAAATTGATGTAAGAAAAGGTACTGAAAGTTCGGCGGCGCTGCGCGCCGCCGTTTTTGAGATATTGCAAAAATTCGCGAGGGGGGGTAAAATTTGCCCCCCCCCCAGCCCCGCGCGGGTTCAGCACAATTCATTGGTAGGTAGATGTGTGTCGTTGCCACTATGTGAGAGTAAATAAATGAAATGAATTATTGATCGTAATGGAAACGTTACACGATTTGCCTTCAAGCGTTAAATATTTTACGTTTAATTTAAACGTTTCAATCAAAGAACTTTTAAATTAGCAATTTCATTTATTCATCTATATGATATGAATGTTGACTAAATAAATTAGATCGAAAATATCCATGAAAATAGCGTCATTTCTCTTCTCATTTATATGAGCATTCGACTTTCATAGGTATTTGACATTTGTTGCGCTTTATGCTTTTATCAAAATACGCCTGAACTCAATAGTGTTGACGACCACGCCTCGACTTCACTAATAAAATCGGTAGGGGAAGTTGGGGGAACGCCGAATACTTTTTTTCTGACGCCCGTAGCACGCAAGGTAGACAACATAAGCTATTCTTGTTGGCGTCATTCGAGAGGCCAGTCTTTTGCCTTTCAAACATACCAGGCGCATTTGATGAATTCGCATACCGTTAAGCGCACAAACTAAAAATATCAAAGAAGTGACTTTTTCGGCGTTGCCCCGGGCTGCGGGGAAAGCCGAAAATGGGAGAAATGATCTACGAGGAATGCCGACATTGATGTTTTGCCACTTTATCTCAAACTTTATCCAGAATTTATCAAAGCTGACACGCGTTTTAAGAGCTTGAGGACGCTTGGTGCACAGTGGAAGTTATAATTGTGTGATATAATAAGAAAATGCCAGGTAAATAATTCCTTATAGGTAACATGCCGTTGTGTCGGTTGAAAGTGTAATTTGTGTGACTAAAAATTCGCGTTGCTATTCTACAGCAGTAAAGTCCACGTAGCGTGCTTTAACGTGCGTAATTGCACGTTTTCGGCATTACCCCAGCCAGCCATACTTTCATTTGCAGGCCCATAACTTTTCAACGTGCCGTATAAATTTCAAATAGGCAGCACACTTATGCAAAGACATGCTGAAGATTACTTGACCGAATTGGCCAGACAAACGGTAGCATAATGAGTAAGAAATGCAGCTTCAAAGGCGCATGTAGTTCAAAGGAAACGTACCTTGAAAATGCTCTTGGCGCCCTCACAGCCGAAGTATTCCGAATGACGACTCGTAACAAACATGCGATAATTGTAGTCACTTAAGCTTCAGAGCATCACTGACAGGTGGCATCCATGTCTTACGGTTTTCGAAATATCTCGAATTTCGACTTTGCCCCAACTCCGGCATTGCCCCAACTTCCCCTAGCATTGGAAGGGTTTTAACGTCTGTGGCACGTATTCAGACCTTTTCGCTACTCTATCTAATAATTCTGGAACCATTATTTATTTCTGGTTTGAGATATACCACGGCGACCATTTTCGCTTTCGGAAAGAAAACCATTCGAAGATATAGTTGTTAAAGGAAGATTGCCACCTTCAAAAAGTTTTCTCAGATCGGCCTATGATTTATTCCCTGGACAAAACAAAATTTTAGAATTCACCTGACAAAGTATCATCACGTGAATCGCGAAAAAAATTGTCGATTATCATACAATTATCAATCGGTTAATGTCTAACGACAATGTTTACACATCACTAGACTTCAAGGTCATAAGATTATTACATTTTATTTGAAAAAGTAAGGTATTTTATGATTTACTAATATATGATTTCATTAGAAATTGGCCATGTTTAATTTATTTTGCATTTAAGTTCGTAAAACATTTAAAAATCATGGCTCATTTGGAATGGGTCTGGCCCATGTTAAACCCCATTTCCCACACTTTTTTGGAAAAAATGAACTACTGAATATATAAGTTTAACTTTTATTTTGACACTCCAAAATTCTTCTCTGATCTCGAAACAATCAAAGTTTTGACATATATTTACAAAAAGATAAGAAAATTCATGTTTCAAAGTTATCGATAAACAGTAGAGATGTCGGTTTTCTTGGACTAAAAAAATGGCATCAAACTGAACTTTCGTCTCCGATTTCTCGCAAACGGGTTCGAATTTCGGAAAACCGACTTCAGTCTGGGACATAGGTGGCTCAGCTCTAGTGAAAACCGTTTTGTGGAAAAAAGGTGGCAGTCTACCTTTAACCTGAGGACAACGTTGGTTAAAACATTTTGGGCATGTTTAACGCGAGCGCTTGATTTAATATCGTTTTATAATTTATACATTTTATCCGAATAAATGCCATTTACATACTCATTCAACCGACCGAATTAATCTAAAGTTTGTTTTCATCAAACGGAGATTGAAACCACTTCTTTAGACATTCGACTTCGTCCCTTTCTTTTCATGTAAAAAAGATGATCACGAAATCACTAATAACTGATATTCATAGGCGGCGGAACGGCTCTGTGCCCCCCTTTGATTTTGGGAGTTTTAACATTAGCCCTATGGGCGTTGCATGGAAAGAATGGGACCAAAAGTCGGCAGTGCCTCCTCCCCCCCTTAATTGAAGGTGTTCCGCCGCTACTGCTGATATTTTGTCTTTAATTACTTAAATGTACGAACGTTTATAAATAAAGAATACAGAAAGACATAAAGATTGCTATTTAATTATTCATAAAGTAAGTGATGATTCTGTATTATAGTAATTTCTTAGCTGGTTCACAAATCACAATGTCATACCATAGGTATTGTTTTATAATCCAAACATGTATAAAAAGTAGGTACTCAAAGCATTTACCGTTGAGCGAATAGAACTGAAGACCCGTGAACGATAACCTTCCCAACATTATTTAATTTTTTTCTAATGATCAACTGGCGATGAAAGCAGCGAACGTACCTATATGTATATTTAGTTTCTACTACCAGCATATTTCAAGGAGTTTTGATCATTAAAAACTGGTAGGTACATTGAATAATAAATTACGTACCTATTAAAAATAATGCTAACGGACTTTCATTTAGTTTTTATCTCCAGGGGGAATATCGTTGGCTCGAGGCATTAGCCGAGAGGATTTTGTAACAGTTACGTAAATGAGGTATCGATTACTATCTAGCGAGAGCTAAGCGCCCCTCGCAATTATCCTATAAAGAGGGTCACCGAGTATTGGGGGATGAGAATGGCTGGCGGATTTTAGAGCAGCAAGATCAGGGAATGGTTATTTCTAGTTCGCCACATAACCACGGTAAAATGCAAAACTGAGCCTATGGTGCTCATAGACCGTCCCCCCAAAAATGTTGCTTGGTAAAACCGGTTTTAATTGCATTCCAAAGCAACTACAAAATAAACATATTTGACGGCTAACGCTATTCTTCACGTCCGTTCCAGGAACCATCTAGGACCGACCAGGAGCCATGGAGCCGGTGGCGCTGCCCGGGCAGCCGGTGAAGACGGTCGAGATGCACACGGGCGGCGAGCCACTGCGCATCGTCGTCTCCGGCCTGCCGCCGATCGCCGGCGCCACACTGCTCGACAAGCGCCGCTTCTGCCGCGAGCAGCTCGACCGCTACCGGCGCGTGCTGATGGGCGAGCCGCGCGGACACAAAGATATGTACGGCGCCTACCTGGTGACGCCCGACAGCCCGCACGCGCACATGGGAGCCCTGTTTCTGCATAATGAGGGCTACAGCACCATGTGCGGCCACGGCGTGCTGGCGCTGGCCCGCTACCTGGTCGATGAGGAGGTGGTGCCGCGCGCGGCCGAGGGAGAGACGGCCGTCAACATCCAGTGTCCGTGCGGCCTGGTGCGCGCCTGGCTGGCCCCGGACAACACGGCCAGGTTCCTCTCCGTGCCGGCGTTCGTCCTGCACTCGGACCTGCGGATGCCGCTGCCGAACGGCGGCGAGTGCAGGATCGACATCTGCTACGGAGGAGCGTTCTACGCCATGGTGAGAGCCGCCGATGTTGGACTACCGGAAGGCGGTGTCGCCAGCGCTACCGAATACCTTCGCATCGCGACGCAGGTGCGCAACCACATCAGCACCGCTGGCATTCGGATTCGGCACCCGGACAGCGCCGATCTCGGCTACCTGTACGGCGTGGTGTTCGGCAACTTCGCGCCGCTGTCGCAGCCATCGCCGCCGCCGTCGGGTATACGCCTAGTGACGGTGTTTGCCGACGGACAGCTGGACCGGTCACCGTGTGGCTCAGCCACGACCGCGTGCTGCGCGCTCCTGCACGCCTCTGGCCACCTCCCGGCCGAGCACAGCTGCACGTTCACCGGGCTCGCCGGCAGCGAATTCACGGCGCGCGTGAAGACGGAGAGCGAGTGCGGGGGCCGGCCGGCAGCGGTGGTAGAGGTGGCCGGCAAGGCCTACTACACCGGCCGCGGAGAGTTCACCGTGGAGCCGGACGACCCGCTCGGCGACGGGTTCCTGATCCGGTGAACACGGAGCCTGTTTGTGTCATATACCTTTGACCACTGGTATGGACTGGTATTGTGGCCTTTTCGATACTTGCAAGTTGAAATGGTGTCAATAGGACGTGTCACTACGGACGTGTAGGTACCGTTCATTTTATACCCAATTAGATCGTATTTCTGGGCTAGGTGGTCTGTAAGGAGACTTAAAATACGACGATACTTAAATATTTCATCGATGGCTAGAATCTTTCCGATTCTAGACGAATATTAGAATTGTCTCTTGTTACCATGTCTCAAGAACATTGCCAGCAAACAACATTGGAAGCGACCCGGGGTGAGCTTGATCCCACATGTGTAAAATACCAAGTAGCGCATAAATGCCCGGTAGTTTATGCTGCTAAATGCGCTTTATGCTGCGGTGGCTGAGGCTCCAATAACGAATTGAACACACAATAGGTAGGTTCAGCGAGAAAAGGTCACTTGTTCCGTTGACAAATTTATCCTCACTTAGGCATAAATCAATTAGCTGCGAGTCGTCTAATGTCAGCTTGTTTCAACACTTGGCCCTAGCTATAGGCTACATGGTAAATTGATAATTTAAAAAAAAAAATATTTTCAGCAATTGATGAAAATGCCAATGACACTTCGTGACAGCAGCGGCGGCAGCAGCAGCAGCAGCAGAGATGCCCGGATAGGAAAGGTAGTTGGCCGAGGTGCTAACCTCAAAATGCAATCCACTTTCGGAGAGGAATAGGGTCTGGCTTTCACGAGCTCGGTCGGATAAAACTGCACTTATTATCGGCGACTCGATGGTCGGGCGGAACCGGTTGTCAGCTTCTCGGCCGCACCCGGCTAAATGGGATGGTTCACGCTTCACGAACAACTATGTATTCTGCAGGAAAGTGACTACGATCATGGGTGATCTTTTCACCCGAAGCTTCCCCTACACGTGCTGGTCTTGAACGTTATCCCGTTTCCCGGGGCCTATGCATTGGCGTATTTAAGTTCATCTTTCAGACGTCGCCGATAACAAATTACCGTCGCATCATTTGGTTTATTTGCGTATACAGTTCTGAGTTCACAAAATAACACGAACACTTGTAGAATGATCAGGGCCAACACTGTGGTCACACAAATACTTGTCAAGCTTTAATGCTAAGCCTTGCGTGCAGAATCCGTAGACTCGGGCGATATAACTAAGTTAGGGAAAACAGCAGCCCTTCAATTCAAAACTCTCAGTTTCTATTGGGGACATCTGATCAGGAAACATGTACCTAATCTGGATACGGAATTGTTGAATACAGCTGCGTTTATTAGGTGCCACTAATTAATAGAACGGAGTCTCGCTCTATTCCGTAATCGCAGAAGGTACCTGCACTACCGACCAAAGCACTCGCAACTGGAAAGAGGACGAAATGGTGATAATGAGATAGCAAAGGGGATGAGACACGAGGTCATGGCAGTTCCATGTCGCGCTAAGCATTATCGTTCTCAAGGATGTATATGAATGTTGCAATGGTTCATGGGACCGTTGTTTGAACCAGTCCAGGATTTTCCACTCGCGCTGCGGAATCGCGTGGAGGTCAAGCGTGTTTGTCTGCTTTCAAAACGACGCACAGGGAAACAAGGGAACTTCGTTGTTGAGCGTCGTCACATTCCCTGGGTAGAATACACGCTACTTGTCCGTGACACGACACCCGGCACTCCAGACAGTCTCTGAACACCTTCAGTTTAAAGGTCCGGGATGAAACGATCGCATCAAGCCTCTGACGGTCGTCGGGCTACTTCTTCAGCTCCGTGATGATCGCGCTCATCAGTACGTTCTTCTGACCACAGACGCCGTTAAAATCGTCCGTATCCAGTGTGGTCAGCGCCACTCCCGCCAACCGGAAACGCTGGACCAGCGCTGCCTTGTGCGTCACAGACCGTTCGTCTTCGATACTGACCCAGCGTGTATCCTGAACGAAATACGGCACCTTGGCAACATCGTCCCAGTTCTTCGTCCAGCGCTCGGCTCCGACGGCTTCCGCGCGCATCTCGCACAGTTCGTTGTAGCCGATGGAGCCGTCCAGCTGGGTGTAGGGTCCCTTGAAGGCGGTCTCGGCCGCCGGGGCGCCGACGTCGCTGCGCGTGGGGTCGGTGAGAAGGTAGGAGCTGCCGTACAGTGGTATGCCGAGCAGCAGTTTGGACGCATCGGCGCCCATCCGCAGGTAGTAGTTGACGGAGCCGGAGACGCGGTCCAGCGGCGCGTTGTGGCCCGTCCGCCGGTCCCAGACTCCGTGGTAGTCGAAGCCCTGCATGTGTAGAAGGTCGATCGCAGAGCTGATTCGCGGCACGTCATAGCCGGCGTCTGCGATTGATGTGAGCGCAGACAAGGAGGCCATCAGCAGCCAGCTGCGAGGACGGAACGCCTCGCGGAGCTCCTCGAGAAGGACTGGGAAGTTGGTCCGATCCTGGGGTGTTCCACCGCGCTGCGTCGGATGCTGCCAGTTCATGTCCAGGCCGTCGAAATTGTGCTTCTGTAAAAACTCCATCACACTGGCGACAAACTTGGCTCGCTTAGCCGGATCTTGCGCCATGTTTGAGAACTTCTCAGAGCCCTCTAGATACCCTCCAACGGAGATTATCGTCTTCAGCGACGGTTTGAGCTTCTTTAAGCTAGTGAATCTGGCGTAGTTACCGCCGGACGGGTTACCGAAGCTACCCAGATCGAGAGTGGGATTTAGCGAGCGCAGCTCGTTGCTCGTTTCATCCATGCCGACATATTGATAGACGAGATGCGTGCATGCCTGTATGTCGATGTTGTCGATGGTGAACTTGCCCCGTCCGCTGCGGAAGCTCGCCCACGAGGCCACGTTACAGACGACGTGCGGGGCACGGGAGGCGCTGCGGATCTGGAGTCCGCTCCCTCCCGTCTGCCCTATCCGCTCGAGCGACGCCTCGATCCGGTCGAGCCGCGAGTTCAGGTCGGCGTAGTGCTGGTCCAGCGTATCCTTGACCACAGAGCGCAGATATTCCCGGAGAGTGCTCGGCGCAAATCGGTCTCCGGTGCAGCCACGCAGGCTGATCAGCGTCAACAGGGCGGCGCACCACCGCCACACACAGGCACCCCGCATGACGCTGTTCTCCGGAAGCAAGACACGCGTTCCTCCAGCTGTCGAGAGGCGGCAGAAGCAGCCGTCTGTCTAAAGGCAGCGGTGACAGCAGTCTGGAGGAGGGTATATATTTTTTGCCTCAATGAGGCGTGATCGGCTGTCTGTCTAAAGATGACTTCTTCTGTCAGGACACACCACACCGCTCGCCTGGATCCCCGGGCTGATACACAGATCCCTGCCGCTGGATCCAACGCACCGACCTGGCCCGCTCCGCGTCACCTGCACCCACTGGGCCTGTCGGCCGGAACTGAGGAAGGGCGCACCAGTCACGGGACCGGTGCTCGCCAATGGCGGTCTCGCGATACTGGCGAACCAGCCCTGGAACGCCCCAGTCGCGGCCTTACAAGTAGCGGCTCATGCGATGGACTGGTTTATGACGCGGTAAGAGCCCTCTGACCGGCTGCCTGTGTGGCCACTAATCCGCTAATTACGTAAGCAGAATAGCACAGATCCTGGCCGAACCACGCTGGAAAAATGAGAAAAGTTCCATCGCCACACCTTATCACTGAGTCAGCGCGACATTAGACCCAAGTTTCCGGATATACGTTGCCGTAGATGTGGAAAAGGAGGAAAACAAAACTTATCGATTCATTTATCTGTGACCGATGACATACCCGCCGTCAATTGGGTAGGTAGGTATACAATGCCTACACAGGTATACAATACCTACCCATGAATGGACTGGACACGTCCAAATAAAGACCGAAAGGCCGTTATGAGCGTTCGTAAAAAAAAACTTGCGCATAAATCCTAAATCGAGCGTGGCATAAAATAATTTCTACGCGCAGAAGATCCGGCTCGCATAGTTTTAATCAAATACACTCAACTTATAAATAAAGCTTCCATACTATTATAGATCTTATTGCCAAGAGGTAAACCGTCTGCATAACCGTTTACGCCTCCTGCACTTCCGAAAGTCAATTGACGACAATGTCTAATGTCTACCGTACCCTTAGCGCAGGGCGACACACATGGGCGTTTGGCTGCGCAACGCTTGGCAGACGACGTTAACGGCTAAGCGATGCTAACTGTCTAGACGATGTTAGCGTTTAGACGACGTTAACATCTAAAAATTGCAGATACGTTTATTAATTAGACGTTTACTTCTACAGGTCTAAGACGACTTCTTAGACGCTTGACAACCATGCCTGACAACCATGCCATGACAATGAATCCTCTCAGCGAGGGGAGGGGATTTAATTTTAGATTTTATTTGGTTTTAAATTAGTTTGAAAGTATTTAACTACCTTTTTGCAATGTCATGCTACAAGCTATCCCGTTTAACACAAACCTTTTTTCTCGAAATGGAGGCACCAGTCACCACCCTCACTTATATCCCCAACTAACAGAGGCTTCGAGACTCGAGTGCAAGTTGAAGTGACATGGCAAAGTAAGTAGGTACTTACCTTCTCACCTGCATTGTAACTTGCAAGCTGCCAGACTCTAGTAAAGACGAGTAGATGCTTAAACCTCTGTTTGATTCCAGCACAGATTCATCAGCAGAATCCGAACCAAAATATATGTTAGTAGAATGGGAATGGCAAAGCTAAGTAGGAATGCTTAGCGTGTAACACTGCCAAATAGTGCACCCAGTCGCCGTTGCGCCTTGGCCGTTGCTTTGCTACAGAGCCCTACGCGCGACGCCGGCGGTCAGGTAGTCGCTATAGAGGGCGCCAGGTGCTTTGGCAGCGGGGTCGCTGGCCCTGCGGTCGGCTGCGGTGTGACGGGCCGACGGCCGGCGGCGGGCGGCGGGCGGCGGCGTGGCAGTTTGGGTGAGGGAGTGGAGCGTGTGAGGTGCGAATAGCACGTGGTACGGCCTCGCTGGGCGTTCCATGCGCTTTTGAAGTAGCCGCTGTCAGGTGCGAACGCTGCAAATTGACTGGATAGTGTGTACGAAGCAGTGCTGGTTCGCTGTCATGCACGGGGCGCTTATCACCATGTGCCCGCACGGATGACCGGCTGGGTAAACGGTGGAGCGAGGAGCGACGTGCGCACAGGTGAGTTTCACCTATCCGTGCTTCTATCCTCAGGAAACAGAAATCCTTCTCCTCCACGCCGCAACCCCCCTCCGGGCTGGACAGGCAACTTTATCTCATGCGGGCTGCTCCCTTGGAGCGGCACCGCTGCTCCTGAGGTAGCGTACCCCGTAGCCGGGTGCAGTGAGTGCCTTGGGGCTGGGTGGCCTGTCCTCTGGACGGGCTCAGCCCCGGCGACTCACTAGGGTGCCTGCCCAGACCAATGTCTCCCCCTTATTCCTATCATCCTTCCGGCTCTGCAATGGTCTTGTCGACCGAAAGGGCCTAACCCAACAAAACAAACAAACAAACAGGTGAGTTTCAGTTCTGCGTGGGGAGTGACGAGCATAAAGGTGGGTTCATATATTTATATAGTACATGTGTTAAGTCATCGACAAAAGTGGGAAACTTCAGTGACTAGGCGTCGATGAAACGACGCTTCAACACAAACACTCAGCAGGAGCGACGGACGGGCAGCGATGTTTTCAATCGTAAGATTAAAACTTCAAACATAGCATGAGCATGTAGTTACACCTACTTAAAAGCAGAACATGGAAAAATGTTAAGACCATTAGCTGTGGATAAACACATCGAAATGTTATGTGTTTGCCGTATTTTTATAATTAGGTACCTTTTGCCTCCAGCCCTGTGACCTCGGGTCAGGTCAACTTCGGGACCCATTATTGATCGGCATTTGTAATTGCCGTTGAATTGGTTGCCTTATCCGTACACTGTTTGTTTTTGGACTAGTGGTTTTCTAACAATATCCATCGGAAAATGCAGGGATAGGTAACCGGTAACGTGCATGTCTAATGTCTATACCCAGAATCTGGTGACCTCATCGAGGACCACATGATGAGGACGATGTCATGTCATGTTAGCGATGAGATGACGGCTTATACGGGTGTTATAGTCAATTCGATCAATACTAATGCACTTCGCTTCTTATTCACCATCAATGACGGGAGTTGGTATCATACCTATTAGCCGCATCGCAAACATGAGTTTAATTATCTCTACGTCACCTTTGGTAGGTATGGGTAAATCTGATTATTAAATTATTTATTTGGATACGGTTTTTGCTACCAACTCGATTCCATAAGATTTCATTTTCTTCACTTGTTTCCGACTCCCGTCGTTCGTTGCCGGGTGCTGCTATGGGCATATTATTGTGTGTCACACATTGCACGCCCCCTCTCGTGTCGCCGACGGCCAATCAATGCACGCGCTACCGTGGCCTGCGGCCGGGCCCGTGCCGCTGAGGACGCCGGCGTCCCAGCTGTAGGCACGACCTTCCCCGCGCCGGGACGCCGCCCGCCGCGCCCGGGCTGCATCCCGAACCGGTTTTGTGACCGGCCGGCCGGCCGGGGTTGCCCGCCTCCCTGCCTGCCGCGCCGGCCGGCCTACCTGCCCGTTGTCGACCGCCCTCCCCGGCCGCCTCCCTCCCCTCACAGGTAGGCCGCCGGGTGCTGAATGTAGACGGCGCGGCCTGGGATGGGCCGGGGAGGAAGATGGCTCGATCCCCGCCGTTTCGCCGGCGTAATTGGAGGACTCGCCTCGGCTCGACCGGTCGGAGTGGGCGAACTGCGAAGGGAGGGTGGTTATGTCTCGCGGCGGTTTATTATATGTAGAAAGTAGATACTTACTAGTGCGCTGTGTTATCCTTGCGATTATTCCGCATCTCGTAGGCATTCAGTTAAGTGACGAAAACAAAGTTGTAATGCACTTTGATAGCCGTCAGTCAGCCGCAGTCAGTGACAGCCGTCAGTCGCTATCGGTGACAGTCGTCAGTCCCTATCGTTGACGACCGTCAGTCGTTATTAATGACAGCCGTCCGTCTCTGTCGGTGAAAGTCGTCACCATCGGATGCCATGCCGCGCCTTCATAGAGCCGCCGCCACACCCCGTCTCGATTGGCGTATCACCCGCCACCCAACAGCCAAAGCGCGATGAGATATGTGAGAGATTGGACCCTCGGACGGTCGGACCCCTCCGTTCGTTGTCGCCAGAATCTCGACTCTGGGCTGAACACGGTCGACAGCCGCCTTTGAGATAGTATCATTCACCCCCGGTCTCCGTCACAAACGCACAACTACCTACGATACAGGCGCAAATTATTTCCTTTGTCAGCAGCAACGTCCCCTACGGCGCGGCGGTTTCAGTTAGGGACATTTGGAGCAATGGAGCAGTAAATCAAACCGTTCAAACTGGCGCTGATATGGCGTGTGCGGGAGCTGGACGCTGGCGAACAAAGCCTGCTCCGTGTTGAAGGTGGACGGGGCAGTGGACGGGGAGATGGACGGAGTGGCGAGCACGTCTTGCCTCACTTTCAAAGGATTACCTTTCTTCAGTTTTAAGTTATGTTCGTTGACGTAATGAATTCAAGTGGTGGAGTATACCGGACACTTAGCTGTGGTGAAGCCTAAATCCCGTTTCAAAAGCAAATCCGACGTGTCTAGATCATATCATAAAGACTTGTACCCAGAAAGGAAAATAATAAATGTGAAAATCACGCCAGCCATCACAAGGACGTCCAGCATGTTAGTTGCCGCCTTGCCTGGGTGGCGGAGCGACGGTCGACGACCACAGCATGACGTGTTCGACAAACAAGGAGGAGACCGTTAACTTTAAAAAAGAACGCCAAATGGCCGAGCTTTTTGCTGCATCCAGTTCTGACGCTCAACACAAAGTTCCTAAGCCGACATAACAGACTTGCAACTAAACCAACGCCCGGGCCGAACCCCTCCCCTGCTGTGAGTCTCGACAGGCGTCGACTTTATGCAAAGTACCCTCTCTACATCCAGCCTTTCTTGGGAAGTATCTCAGTCTTTCATTCCAAACTTGTGCGAGCTGCGGTCGCGGACGGCCATTACCATTTGCCGTCGGGCGGCGGCGCTCGTTGCCGGGGTCGTGTTTCGGCGGGGAGGGGAGGCAGGGGGAGAGATGGGGTGCTGCCTTCCCTGTCCCGGAAACTCCACCCGATTAATATCGGCCCGATGGCCGGCCGCCGCCCACGCGGCCCGCCGGGCTGTTGTCTGACCTTGCGGCGGTGCCCTCCTCGTGGCCGCTGACCCGCGTGACTTCAGACCACTCCTGGCACCCCGCAGAGGAGTGGCCGGACTTATTTGGTAGGTGCTGAACGGTCCACTGGCTCGGCTTTACAGAGGCCTGGAGGTGGGACGAATGAGGGAGCCCTTGGCCCTTGGGGCTTCCTTCTGCCGAGGTTGGTCCCAGCGTCGTGATCTAGCTGACTGAACCAGCAGCTGTTGGGGAAAGTTGCTGGTCGGTCGCTGATAGGTTATTTTTAGTCACTGGTCAGTGGTCGGGCACTGGTGGGCGATATTTGGCTACCGGTGAGTTGTGCGGTGTTGCCAGTTCGTATTTCGCTGCCGATGAGTATGGTTGTCGCACAGTTCCCGGCCAGGCGGCCGATGATATGGCAGACCGACGATCTTTATGATCGGGAGTTCTGAGTAGAAATCCTGTCTCGACAGCACTTCGATGATGGACGATGACTTACGACACCGTGCATCATCGGACCCGTTGCGGTAAATCAGAGGGCGCCCATCGGGCTTATGTAGTGGCCAGAGTTCTCATAGTGCTGCGAAGGTCTCGATGGGCGAGAGCTGTAAAATAAGCACGAAATACTGTCAAGGGAGAAGTCATTTTGTGACTTCTTGCCCAGAAACAAGCATCTTTATGGCGGCCGGGTCAGTGTGATATGATGTTCGCAATGTGTCCTGGTTTGGTTAGTTTTATCTTTGACTTTGCTTGTCGGTGGGTCTTGTCCCTGGTGGTGACTTTCGTTAATAAACAAATAAATAAATAAATAAATAAGTCTTTCCGCCATCTATCCTTGCAGCGGGGTGGCCATTCTGTTTGACCTCAGCCACTGCAGCCAGGTCAGTCTGCCCGGGTCAGTCAGTCTGTCAGTTTGTCCTCTGCGGAGCCCTGCAGCCTTTAGTTCTCGGAACCTGCCATCCCGGCCGCGGTCGAACGACGACCACCAGACCCGGAGTGGCCACCGCCTCCGCACCGGCTCCTACGCTCCCCCCGCGCGACCGGTCAGTGTCGAAATCACGCCCGGGCTGCAGGTGCACGTCCGAGTGGGTAGTTACTACGGCGGCGGCCGACGGGGCGGCACTCCACTCGTAAAGCCAGCAGAGTGTGACAAGCGAACATCTTTGGCGCATTCTGCAGCCGCAGCGCCGTCGGCATGCAGCGACACAATGGTGCACTTCCTTTGTGCGCGCTGGACTGGCGATATACCACTATGGTAAAGGTATTCGTGTAATGTCATGGGTGCACATCCATAAACGCTAACGCCGATTGTAATGTCTAGTAGTGGGCGGTGACCAGGCTGGACGCCGCAGGAGCTGGCACTAGAGCCTGAGCTGCAGCCAGACCGGAGTTCGAGTCAGAGTCGGAGTCAGACGTGGGCTGGGGGCTGAGATTGGCTGCACCGTCACGATCCGGTGCTAATTCCTGGTAGCGCGGGCTGTTCAACTCCGACCGCAGTCTCCCCCTGACGTGGTGCTAAAAACCGGCCCGTTTCGGCCCGCGGTACGTGACCGAGCCACCGACCTGCCGGTCGGACGGGAGGGGTGACTGGAGCTCGGAGGTGAAGCCGGAGCAGAGAGGTGCCGGGCTGTCGGACGAGCCGGCCACAGACGGACGCGGCGGTCCCATAGTCACGCTCCGCCACCCGGCGCCTGTTTGTGTGTGTGGGGTTTGTGAGGACGCGTGCCGTCCCCTGCGGCGCCAGCTGCCGAGTGCCACTGGCACGTGGTAGCCGTCGGGGCCAGGGACGCCCAGGGGACGGCCAATGGGGTGCGGACCAGCGGCGCACCGCTCGATAAACGCGCTGCGAGCGCGTCGTCTGTCGCTGGCGACAGGCTGGCTCCCTCCCCATCCTCCCCATGCCCAGCTCAGATTGGTACTATACAGCATACATTATACCGAGCTGTGATGAAAGTCGCCCAG